TCTTGTATTAAGTCGACTAAAGTTTCTTTATTTACACATTCATCCAAATCTTCTATTTCAGCTTCCAATAAATTGACTCTCCTTTTAAGCTTTTCATATTTGAAATAATAATCTTCCAATTTTTTTTCGAGCTCCCAAATCTGTCCAAAAAGCACTTTATATACTTCTATATTCGCTCGTCTAATCCAAATAACTTAGCAATTTTTTCTATACGTCTGATATCTTCTGGCTCGTTAAGTGTACCATCTGATGAATGCTTTTGATCAATTGTCATTTTCGTGATATTTTATATATACAATATCTTGGGCGAACAAAAAAATAAATTTAATAAACAACATCTAACCCACCTTCCAAGAAAATTTATTATTAGTTTTTATCGAAGATGTAGAATAGACTTGCCTGATTATAAGGTTCTTCTCTTTTTCGCATATTGACTATAGTATATCTCTTGGATGGAGAAGCATGGTTATCAGATAAATGTCGAAGGGCTTCACTGGCATAAGTGTTAGCCTTCGATGCATTTTTAGGCTCATGCGCTACAGAAGCAAATACTGCATCTAACTTGCGTAAAGAGCTAGGAAGTAGTGGTTTACCACTTTCAGGAATAAATTCGTCTTTTTTTCAGAAATATACTTAAGTACATAGATCCAAGTTTTCCTGGATCCCTTAACTCCCCGGAAATGATTGCTTTCTGAATCTATGAAAGTAATTTTCTTGCCCGCTCCTCGTTCTTTTCCAGTAATCTAAATACTCAAAGAATATCTTGTTGACCTCGGTTTTTTGCATATCCAGTTATAGCCCTATTAGATATACGCAAGTTTTTAATTTCAGCAGAACGAATGCAGAGCATTATCATTATATCGGCTAGGGCTAGTTTATCGGATATATTAGATACATTATATAAATTCAGTCTCTCCTTAACTGATTCTAATGAGAAGTGGTCTGGAAAATCGATTCCTTCATTTTCACGTTGCTCGCTACACTCCTTTTGAACTTTATTAGATAATCTAGTTACCTCCAGATTTAATGTAGCAGAAACTATTTTTTCTGAAGTATTGATAGCTCGCAATTCTCTTCGAAGCCTAAAGAGACGGAATAAGGCAACAACAGGATCAGGGGCAGTTTCAACTAAGTTTCTAGATATTACTTTTATATCTTTTTCACTAAGTTTATCTTTTATAATATGCTAAGCTGTTTCTTTAATAGTTTTTCTGGAACAAGTACTATCAGATACTTGACATATATTCACTTTCTCGGCTTTTTTCCCACCTTCTTTGAGGGGCACTTGACTTTTGTATTGCCCAACTCTCTGGAGCGGAATCAATGCAAACACCTGCTCTTTGCTAAAGTTATACCCTTTTATAAGACGATTACGGGCTTGGCGCCTTTTCTCTTTATTATCTGTTAGAGGTCAAGTATTTCTGGTGCGTATTGGCTAAGCTCTTTGAGGCCCATCTCTTTAGTGAGTTTGTGCTTTTCAACAAACTTGGTTGTAATAGCAGACATGATATGGTATGTAAAATATAAGTGATAGTTAGATTAATCTTTCTTTGTCAGATTATATTATATAGATAAAGTTCAATTTAAAAAAATATTCTGACAATTCACTATGTGTAAACACTTTGTGATCTACTAATGATTGGTGAAGGCTAACAGAAGGCCGAGGATAATATATCTTAGCCAAAGGCACTATGTATTAGTTTCAAAAGGACCTACTCTGATCGGGGAGGGTTTATATCGATTTGGAATTTGTGGGCAGATAGGAATACAAAAAAAAAATACATAGACATGAAACCCCATTCCAAGACTATGAATAAATTTGAATCATAATCGCATTTTAATCAAGTGCTTGCATTAGAGCTAATATATGTTCTGGTTCTAAAGCATTTGTCTTGGTAAATGCATCATATAAAGTGCCTGGTCTATGTTTCGAAGAAGTTAAATTTGGGTGATAGAGAAATTTCATGAGTACATTATTCCTCCAAGCTTTTGTCTCTTCATGCTCTCAAATTATTCCTATCAACGTAGACAAGTTATTACTAGAATAGTTCATTTGGATTAGATTCTGAAATGATGATTGTTTATTTTTTTCGATAGTGAATAAGCTCATCCCACCCTTAACAATAGATTCTACACTAATAGGAAAGTTCTTACAAATTTCTGATCTATTCGCTATAATAGATAGGGGTGGAATTAGAACTGGGAAGAAGCTATAAAAGAGGTGAAATATAGATCTATTGCTATCTTTTAAATAATCAAAAAGTTTGTTGGCATATTTATAACCTTCACGAATTAACTTATAGAATAACCTTCCATTTGGGTCGATCCATCGACTAGTTAAAATGTTGAGCACTCTTTTTTGCATCATGTCCATAGCATAAGTAAGTTCAGATATTTAGTGTGGTAAGTAAATTATAGGTAATAGTTAGACTAATCTCTATTTGTCAGATTATATTATATAGATAAAGTTCAATTCGAAAAAAATATCCCACCTAAGGCATCACATTTTTGAATATCTATAATAAAAGTGAAGATGAAGTTTTGAGATTATTAATATCAAAATTATCTCATATGGATCGTCTATCCTGCCAATACATAAAGAAAGATGGTTCGACTCATATGGATCATTTATCCTGCTAATACATCAAGAAAGATGGTTCGATTTGTGGGAAAGGGTGCTGGCGTGCTTCAGGATGTGCCATACACTATAAAATACGTCCTAAAAAATTATGTCTTATCTGTAATAAGTTAACCAATTCTTATACCAGGATCTGTAGCTCACATGGTGAAATTTATAAGAAAGCCTGGCATGAAGGTAAAAAAATTAAAATAGAATCAGATATGATAGAGACACCTAGCTAAATAATAATTTGGCCAAAGTATTATTTCTTTATCTTATAGAATCAAAGAGTTCCTGAATATCGTTATCTGTTTTTGGCCTATATGGTGGAAGCTCTGGTGCATCTTTATCTCCAAAACCAGTACCGCTATATGGCTAGCAATTAATTTTGTATGAATATTTCCAAACCTGCTTTTCCCTAGAACCTATTCTTTTTTTATTACTTTTAATAGTATATCCACACCAATTACTAGCAATTGCATTAATTGCTTTTATAGCTGATTTAAGATCAGGTGTTTCCTTTGCACGAGACTTAAAGCCAAAGAGTGATAAAGACTGATTTCGAATTTCTATAAATCTTTTACAGGATTGCATAAATGATTCTGATACAATATTACCAGGAAGGATATATTTATCATCAATTCTAGTAAAGCCTAATATTTGAAAGAGTTCTCTTATAGCCTTCCAATGATTTGCTGAATAAGATTTACGCAAGTCTTCTGCTACTGATTTTTCCAGATTCTCTTTGGCTTTATAGCAGGCCATTTTCCATTGTACATTTTCCTCAGTTTTCAATTCCTTCATTGCATTCTTCTTATCATGACCTTGTCTTCAGAAATAAGACAATCGTAAGAAATGCTTCTGAGCTTCAGGTGAACTAAAATTTTCAATGAATTTTCTATTGCAAATATTATCCCAATCCTCAATACTCATGTCTTTGCAATAAAGATTCCGTATATAAAATGTTTAAGTGCTATAGTATCTGTGATAGAGTGCTCTTGGTCGAATTTAAGGACTTCAGCTTCTTCAAGGCTAAGATTTTGAGAAGTAGCAACTGCATTAAAATCTGTTTCTTTAATAACTAATGCTTCAACTCTAACCTCATTATGGATTCTTTTATGGTTCTCTATAACTCCTCAGCTTTCATCTATTTTTATTAGTTGGAAAGAAGCGCCGGTACTAGCTATAAGACTACAAAGCTTCTCAATAAAGTATCTCACAGAAAGGTGTTTCTGATGCTCAACTTCAATAAATATTATTACAGCCAGAGATTCATCAATTTTATAAAAAATGGTATTGTTATCCTATTCACGATGACCTTTTATTGCTGTAGGTAAGTTATTAAGCCAAGCACTTTCAAGTTCTGCCCTAATATTTTCACGACCTGGTGGGTGAAAAAGTTCGTTAGAATTTTTCTGATAGAATATAGAAATAATACGGCGAGGACAATCACGAATTCGATAAAGCATTTGTGCAAGAGCTTCGACATGAACTGGAGTGGCGATGTTTGTAATAGCTATAACTATATCGAAGTGACCTATAACCTTGAATGATATTCCTGCCTCCACTGTATTTGTATAAGCTATACAGTCAAGCTCACTCCAAGCAACATTAATGTCAGAAAAGTCTTTTTGACATTGTTTTCCATTCATATCTCCATAATAAGCACGGGCTCTAACAGGCGAATTATCAGGTTTAGACAACTTAGATGCTTTTTCCACTAATGCTCTAGCTATCACCGCTCCAGTAGATACAAATGCTACACGTTTACCCTGCTTAAAAAGGTCATATCCTATTCGCATGGCTTCTGCTCAACTATTTGAATTATAAATAAATTCAACCGTCTCACCTATATGAGGCCGGTATCTATTATCAATTATATGAATATCTTCACCACGATATATCTTAAGGAATGCTAATGTTGATTTATTTGCAAAGGCATTCATAGCCAAAACATGTCTTGCAGATCTTAAAACATCACGCATTGCGTTTTCAGATTCCTGTGCATTTGTACCGCTAAACATTTGGCGCATAATGGCATTAGCTTCATCAAGAATAGCTACAAATGGACGGGCTGTGAATTCAACACGAAAGAGGCTCTCAACCTGTACTATGATAATATCCCACTCATTTATAGATAAGTCTCCTTGCATATTTTGGTAGTTGCAAATTCGGAAGCCAGATGCTTTTAACTCATTAAGTTTGGATTTCGATTCATTGCTAAGAGACTTTCGGTAAAAGATCCAGATATAGCATGGTAAGGAAAAAATATCATGTACTTTATCTTTCAATGCCATAATATTCTCTTTTAACGCAGTGGTTTTCTATGTCCCTGAGGGAGAACGAATAAGTGTTGTTGTTTTCTCAATATCCAAAAAATCGGGATATACTTCTAGAGCATCCTTTAATTTTTCTACATTAATCATCATTTCTGATAATTCTACAAGAGGACGTGGATTTGATATAGCATTACCTATTCTTTTGACTATTTCTCTCTTGGGTTTTGCAGAAATTTCAGTCACTTTTCTAAATGCTAATCTCTTATGATCTGGCTTATATTAATTTTGCCGATAGCATTTAAGTACAAAATAGCCATTACTTCGAAGAAAGCCATATAATTGATCTCTTTCATATTTGATTCCGCAAATAGGACACGCTTTATATGACTTTGCTTGGAAGTTAACAAATCCCTTTTTAATATGGCCAATTTCAAGCCACTTATATTTTGCTGTAACTAAACCAGCTCCTTTGTTTAAGGCGGTTTCATCTTCGATAGGTTGGAATTTATCCTTTTTTAGATTTTCAGAAGAAAAGATCTGTGGCCAGATTTCAGAATAATCAGATTTAGGTTGAACTAAATAATCTTCTAGCTTGCGATATCCTTGTTTAACTGAAGAAACTGCAGGTCTTTTAACTCTATTTTTCTTTGCCGATCCAAGAAGCCGAAGACTAAAACGTGATTTATAAAGCCCAAGGTCAATAAATTCAGAATATGGTTTCCCAACCCTATTAGCAACTTTTTTCACAAATCCTCTAAGGTCTCTGTAGTCAACGAACCATGCATATTTATACATGATATGCCAGCTACATTTATCAGAATTAGACGAACTGGCTAAGGCAAAAGCATCTAATATTGCAAAATGTTTTAAGTCAAAATATAAAATATCGGCACAGGCAATTAAGATTTTGGATAATAAATCTTCACAAGAAATTTTATATCTATTTAAGGAAAGGTGTTTGGGACTCATTAGATTAGGCTTTTGCCTTGCATCAATATCCAGAATGAGGCGAAGAGGCAAATTCCCATCAATGCATTCATGAGCATCAGGTAACCCATAAACTTCGGATGGGTGATTTACTACTGTGAATCCCTTACCTGCAACCCGAATAATATATTTATCAAAAATTTCCTCAGAATGATGGGCATCTAGAAGAGCGATATCATCTTTACTATTAGACAGATATTTAAAGTATACATGATTATTATAACCAGGCTTATAATCAAAATCCGCTAAACCAGAAAAAAGCCTAATTGCTTCATTTATTTCACTGGGGTCGGGCCCAGATTTTTTTTGCACAAGCATGATAATATATATGGAAAAAACAAATATAAATCTACATAAAAATTCCAAATATTTAAAATAAAAAATCATGTTCGCCAGCAAACTATTGTGGCAAAAGTGATCGATGTGGTAGTACCCAAAAGTGGTACCCAAAAGTGATCGATATAGTAGTACCCAAAGGTAGAATTATATATAGTAAAAGAAATAAGAAATTATGCCTTTGGGTACTACCGCCGATAGGTAAGAAAGAGAGCAGAAAGATAGAAAGACTTAGGAGAATACAAAAAAAAAAAGGTATGAAAACAGTATAATCTGAACTAATT